GCACACAGGTGTGCCCAGGTGCGCTCACCTTGCCGTCCTTGCAGTACATCTCGTACTGCTGGATCATCTGCCGGCTGGCCAGGCTGCCGTGGTACACGATGGTGTTCAGGTGCGTCCAGGCGCCGAACTCGCGCTCCCAGTTGGCGATGGTGGAGAGCGGCGCGATCACCAGGTAAGGCCCGCGCACACCTGCGCCGTGCACCTCCTGCAGGAAGGCGATCGACTGGATCGTCTTGCCCAGCCCCATCTCGTCGGCCAGGATGCAGTTCTGCCTGCGCGACAGCGAGACGCCGCTCAGACGGACAGGTGAGCGCACCTGGGGCACACCTGGGGCAGGTGAGGGCAGCTGGGACAGGTGAGGGGCACCTGGGATAGGTAATGGGCATTTGGGATACACCTGGGGCAGGTGAGCGCACCTGGGGCACACCTGGGGCAGGTGGGGGGACCTGGGGGGCACCTGGGGCAGGTGGGGGGGCTTGGGACAGGTAATGGGCATTTCGGATACACCTGGGACAGGTGAGGGGCACCTGGGACACACCTGGGGCAGGTGGGGGGGCTTGGGATACACCTGGGACAGGTGAGGGGCAACTGGGGCAGGTGGGGGACACCTGGGATAGGTAATGGCCATTTGGGACACACCTGGGACAGGTGAGCGCACCTGGGGCACACCTGGGGCAGGTGGGGGGACCTGGGATACACCTGGGACAGGTGAGGGGCAACTGGGGCAGGTGGGCGCACCTGGGGGGCACCTGGGATGGGTAATGGGCACCTGGAATACACCTGGGACAGGTGAGGGCAGCTGGGACAGGTGGGGGACACCTGGGATAGGTAATGGCCATTTGGGACACACCTGGGGCAGGTGAGGGCACCTGGGGCACACCTGGGGCAGGTGGGGGGACCTGGGGGGCACCTGGGACAGGTGAGCGCACCTGGGGCAGGTGAGGGCACCTGGGATACACCTAGGATACACCTGGGACAGGTGAGGGACACCTGGGATAGGTAATGGGCACCTGGGATACACCTGGGACAGGTGAGGGCACCTGGGACAGGTGAGGACAGCTGGGACAGGTGAGGGGCACCTGGGGGGCACCTGGGACAGGTGAGGGACACCTGGGATAGATAATGGGCACCTGGGATACACCTGGGACAGGTGAGGGACACCTGGGATAGATAATGGGCACCTGGGATACACCTGGGACAGGTGAGGGGCAGCTGGGACACACCTGGGACAGGTGAGGGGACCTGGGGGGCACCTGGGACAGGTAATGGGCACCTGGGATACAGCTGGGACAGGTGAGGGCACCTGGGACAGGTGAGGGCACCTGGGACAGGTGACGGCACCTGGGGGGCACCTGGGGCAGGTGAGGGGACCTGGGGTACACCTGGGGCAGGTGAGGGCACGTGGGACAGGTGGGGGCAGGTGAGGGGCAGCTGGGATACACCTGAGACACACCTGGGACAGGTAACATACACCCGAGATACACCTGGGACAGGTGAGGGCACCTGGGACAGGTTGAGGGCACCTGGGACACACCTGGGATTCACCTGGGACAGGTGAGGGATACCTGGGACAGGTGAGGGGCACCTAGATACACCTGGGACAGGTGAGGAACACCTGGGATAGATAATGGGCACCTGGGACAGGTGAGGGGCAGCTGGGATACACCTGAGACACACCTGGGACAGGTAACATACACCTGAGATACACCTGGGACAGGTGAGGTACACCTGAGATAATTAATGCACACCTGAGACAGCTAATGACCACCTGGGACAGGTGAGGTGCACCTGAGACTTCCCATTTCCCTTTCCCCAGGTGTGCTCACCTGTCCCAGGTGTTTTTCCCATTCTCCAGCTGTTTTTCCCCATTCCCCAGGTGTGCTCACCTGTGCCAGGTGTGCTCACCTGTGCCCAGGTGTGCTCACCTGTTGTACCAGTTGAAGAGCAGCCAGTTAACCCCTTCCAGCCCCACAGGTGTGCTCACCT